AGGACATCAGCATTCCTCTGTTTCTTATAAGGCAGAACCCCTGGCATTAGCTGGAAAAGGAACATGTATTGTTGTTGGTCCCGCATATCATTTGTATCTGACGACACGTTACTCACCCCAAAGTCAAAGCAGTTAAATGAGGAGTGAAAGTAGGTCCTGGGCCCAAGGCCATACATCTTCAGACTCATTTCTATTAGAAACAGACCAAGGAATACAAACTCCGCCAAATCTGTATACACAAAAAAGCATTTATCAATGAACTTTGTCAGTTTACATCACCTATCATTTTTTTAAGTCCTGTCAAGTCAAGCCAGCAGTGAAAGATGTAATAACCTACTGACAAAATTATTCTCATACTCTGTTGCTTCTGTAATAGGTTTCAACATAACATAACAGTTAATAGAGCTCAAGTATAATCATTCAGGCCATCATGGTGGTCTAAAGCTGCCAAGTCAGAGTGGTGTGGCCTCATAGGTAAAGAACTGGGCAGGTAACTGAAAAAGATGTCATCACATTGTGCTCTTGAGGAAGACAACTTAAATCTTTTGGGGGAGCTGTCCCTGCAATAACTGTGGTGTATGTGGCCTTCTATAAAAGCATCAGCTCAATGACAATTAATGATTAGTATCAGTTGGCATGCAAGCAGAGGTATATGTAGGAGCTGGGGCAATGCTCCTTTCTCATCTTTTGCACCAATCTGCCACAAGGAACTCTTTACAGTGTGGACTAAAACCTATGGGAGTTACTTTCTTTACATTAACATAGTTGAGGCATGAATTGAACTTCAGAATGGACTGCTCACCTGACATGGATCAAAAGTCAACACACGGCACAAATTTGGACATTTTCTATATACAGTACCATTCAAAAGTTTAGGGTCCGTAACAATTTTTTACATTTATTTTGGAAAGAACCAATGCTGCATTTATTTGATCAAAAACACAGTAAAAGCAGTAGTATTGTGAAATATTATTACAGTTTATGTAAATATTATTTACAATTACAACTGTTTTCTATTTTAATGTATTTTAAAATTTATTTATTTTTTCTGGTGATGACAAAGTTGAATTTTCAGCAGCCATTACTCCGGTCTTTAGTGTCGCATGATCTTAATATGCTGATTTGGTGTTGCTTAATATTTATATAAAAAAAAAAAAAACTGATATATTTTTCATGATTGTTTGCTAAAAAGAAAATTACAACCGAAAACAGCATTTATTTAAAACATTTTTTTTTGCAACAAAGTCTTTACTGTCACTTTTGATCAATTTAATGCATCCTTGCTTAATTATTTGTAATTAACTTCATTAACTGATCAGTGTATAATGTAATTAATTTAATTACATTTTTAATCTAAAGACTCTTCTTTTTAACTTATGAAACATAGCAGTCACAATAACAGGGGCAGTTTTATGTAAAACTAAAATTCAGATGCTAAAAACTAAAGCTTGACTTTGAGTCAAATCGTAAAATAAGTTGTACAATTAATGATGCAAATACAAGGAGCATAGTATTTAAAAGCACTTGTTTTGCTTTGATTTTTGAGGGTTTTTAAATGACTCCCAGTGCACCTAAGCCATGTTCAAATATAGTTCACATAAACCTGTGATCCTCCAGAGAGCTGTAGTGATGCTTTAAAGATGCGGTTCACTTACACAGTGCATATGTGAGCCAGTCGGGCTGGTCGTAGTGAACTATAGCCACACACAGTGTGTTCAGTCCCACTATACACAGAACAGTCCAGTAGAAGCTCTGGGCCTTCACCATACGGCGGATGAAGAAGCGAAACCTCTTCGCTTTTCTGCGAAAGTATGATGAGCTCTCGTTCTTGCTGCTCTTCACGCTTGTACGGGTGAATGGAGAGCCCTGGGGAGCTGCGGAGAGAGAGACTGTTTCAGATGTTCACAACAGCTCACAGATGATGGAGGGGAGAAGAGAGGAGAGGGATTCAACACATATTCTGATTTGTTAACGTCTTCTTTATCCATCTTTCCACTCTCTCTCTCTCAATCTCCTTCTATTTTGGTTACGATTCTCTGTTTATGTTACATGTAAAAAAAAAACAAAAAACATCCCCAAAACCATCACAGATGTAAGTTTTATGACTTTTTTAAATCTGATTTGTTATTTTCTATGCTGATTTTGGAGAAAATCTACCATGAGTTCAAAGGTCACAGGCGTTAGGCCTGGCTCTTACCGACTGATGAGATGTCAGTGAAGTGGTCTTCTCCTTCCTCTGCATTGATGAGGTCATTTTTGCTCTTCTTGGCTCTCTTCAATACTAAACATGTTGAAAAGCGAATGGCAATTAAACAGTAGTAGTATTAAATATAATAATAAATTAATTAAGAGTATAGTAAAAATAATTGAAAAATGAAAAATTGTTATTAATTATTATTAGTAGTAGTAAGTAAGACAATCTCTTTTGCTCTAATAATGAACAAATATAATACTTTATTTCTCAATGGTTACCTGGGTTGTTGCATTTCCTCTTGTACCAGGCACCATCCTCCTTCTCCTCTGCATTTTTATCTTCTTCAGCAAGCATTACTTCCTCTGAAACAAAGATATTTCACTACTTACACTATGTATGTCTTGCATCTGAAGCCATGATGTTTTTATTTTGAATTAAGCATCTAAATGAATACATGACAGGCTGAAATTGTTTTGCTCTTTTGAGGTTGTTTGCCGGGGTATTGCCACAGTATGGTTGCTAAGCTATTCTAAGTGGTTGTTCTATGTGGTTGCTAGGGTGTTCTTGGTAGTTGCACAGGTGGAGAGACACACAAAAGCAACCACTATAAGGCTTATTGTAACCTGATGCCACACACAGTAATCAGTGCTGTCACTGAAGATCTGACAAACATCCAGCAGGAGGCAGGGACAGCAGTGAGCACTGTATCACCCAACACATTAACGTTTTAAACAATGTGATGGATATCTGATTGACTATAACGGCTGTAGCAAGATACTGGAAGAAGTCAAAGCACTGTAAGCAGTTAATTCCATCACGGTTTTATGATGTTAATACATCAAAGCCGGGCCACCATAGAGGAGTTCGGGAAATCACCTCTCTAAGCTAAATAAATCCCCATGGAAGAGCCTTAGTGGGCTTCTGGGAAATAAAACGGAGGATACTACATGCTGTGACAGAGCTAATTAACCCCTGCGCTGATGGAGGATCATTAGTTTTACAAGAAACTGTGCCGCCTTAGGAGAAACTACAGTATTAGGAGAGGTAGAATTATAAAGGACCAACAACATCAACATTTAAATCCAAAACATTCCATTTTTTTCTGATTTCTTCTTGTTATAATGATTTTTTTGTAACATGCTAAGGTTTCATATTTCCTATGTCCATCTACATGGAAAATCAAGGGATTTCTGGCTTTGTCCATCGGGTATTTCCATTAATAATAGCCATTAATTGTAAAATGGTTATTGGAAGTGTGCCACTGAGAATTATTAAATTACATCCTTATGAAATCTAATATACATGAGGACAAACATCACATTTACATCCGAATGGTTATTAATCTACATGAAACTGTAAATTACCCAAACCCTAAGTTTAGCTTAAAAATTAGGTTTAATCATTTGGATTCAGTCAGATTTACTGAATAGAAACTATTTTTGTGCCTGGAACTGCATGTGGAAAATCATCAAGTTAGACAGTTCAAACTATGGGTGGGAAATTTGTTCCATTATTTTATATTGCATCATAAAAGTCCATATTTCAAAATATTGTGTTCATAATAACTATGTTCAAATTCTTGGGTTCAGTAGGATTTTTATTTTAAAGAAATTATTACTTTTATTCAGCAAGGATGCATTAATTTGATCAAAAGAGAGAGTAAAGACATTTATAATGTTAAAAAAAAAATGTTTTCAAATAAATACTGTTCTCATTCATCAAAGAACCCTGAAAAAAAGTTTCCACAAAAATATTAAGCAGAATAACCGTTTTCAACAGTAATAATAAGAAATATTTATTGAACGTCAAATCAACATATTAGAATGATTTCTGAATGATCATGTGACACTGAAGACTGGCAGCTGAAAATTCAGCCTTGCTATCACAGGAATTAATTTAAAATATATTAAAATAGAAAACTGAAAAAGTCTTTACAGTACTTTTGATGTAATAAATGCAGCCTTGGTAAGCATAAGAGACTTCTTTCAAAAACATTAAAAAACCTAACCAACCAGAAACTTTTGTACGCAGTGTACATTTATAGCACATATGTTTTTTCTGTTGATTTCTGCAAGTGAGACCCTTTTTTTAAAAAAAAAAAAGGGGTTCAGTTCTGAAATTTCGGTGCAGTTTCAGGGACGCAGCATCACGCTGTTACAGTACAAATACTGCAATCTAATTACATTGGCACTAATATTAATACATGCAGAATGTGTAAAACTGGTGAAAATCCTGAGAAAAACTTGAGAAGACTATTACTAAACTGGCCCCCGGATCAGTGCCAATCCACAGCCACAGAAAGCTCCAACACATTGAGTCCCTGGCTGATGAAAGAGCTGTTACAGGCAGTCAAGGGAAGACTGAACCAGCTGGTGGAGAGAGTGGAAGGCTATGTGGTTGCCATGGAGAGAGGAAGTGCTGAGCAACAGACAGGCACAGATACATCAGCTCCCATCGCGGCCGAGGAGAGATCCGGGAAGCGAGTGAGATATGGTCATGGGAGAAAAAGCACAAGGGCACAGAACACTCTGTAGGGAACAGACGAAGGCCTTCTGGTGGTTGCAATGTAGATAATTCTCAGGTTCAAGTCTTGAAAAACCCATGAATGTCTCTGAATTTGAAAATGGGTATTGTGGAGATATTACATATCAAGTGTTGATGGAGATATTGTTCATTTGAGAGACTGACCTGCCTTGCAGATCCACTCCAGGTAGCCGGTCAGCTCCCTCTCGATCTGCTGTTGTCTGCGAAGCTTCAGGAACTCCTGCCTTTTCTCCACACGCTCTCGCTCCTTTGCAAACTCCCTGTTTGGACAAAAGCACATAAATTCACATCCATGAACCCACTGTACTGCACAGAGGCATCAGGGGAGCCCTGCTCAATGGCACAGGTCATGTGTATAAGAGCATGCATGTATCTCATAATACAGTGATGCACCCACAAAAGCAAATACACCCATTGATAACACCATAAGGTACATGTTTGAAAAACAAAAGTGAACGAGATAAATGCACCAAAATGAAACGTTAGAGAAAAAAGCAAGTGCAAGGTGTGGCATCCACATTTGCAAGAGCTGTAGAAAAATCAATGTTTTAGAATCAATAGAAAACAACAGCTAAATGTCTCGCTTAAAGCTGAAGTGTGCAATTTCTTCTTAATTGTTAAAATTCCTTCTCCTATCCCAACTTAATATACAGAGTCAGATAGTTAAGCCAATCTTATATTCATTTTATATTAATTGTCAAATATAATTGCAGCGTGATGCATTTAGTAGACTAACTATTGAAGTCTATAAATCTAAATCTATAGGTTTGTAGACTTCAGTAGATCTGCTTAAAAAGACCCATTAATCCTTGTTTTCAGCATCATTAACAGCATATAGTATGAAACTTGCAAAGATGCAAAGCAATAAAACAATTTCAATATATACGGCACAAATTGTAGAAATAATATGACAATATTATATATTATTATATATACTATACAATAATAATATACAGTACTGCTCAAAAGTTCGGAGTCAGGAAATGTTTGAGTGTTTTCTATTTTAATATATTAAAATATATTTTAACAATGTAGAAGTCTTTACTATCACTTTCGATCAATTTATTGCACCTTCGCTGAATGAAAGTATTAATTTCTTACACCCAAAAAATCTTACAGACCCCAAACTTTTGAGCAGTAAATATATATAAAATTATATAATATATTATATAATTATTATACACAATATAATAATAAGGCATCATCATCATCAGTTAAAACTATGTGATTTTTAGAAACCTGTTGAAAACATATATTATTTCTGCAATTCTAATTGATGATAGTAATGGTGCACTTTAGCTTTAAGGACACAAAATAGCTGAAATGACTAATGTAAAATGGTTGATTAACTTCCTCAAGAGACGTTACAGCCTCACAAGGAAACAGAGGTCAATCCTTTATTCTCAGTAATGCACCTACAGGGCGAGACAGTTTCTCTCATCTAATCTCTCTAACTTTCACCCCACAGTATGACAAAACTGTGTAGTAATACCTTGATTAGATATTAAGCTCATAGGTCAAAAAAAGTGGTATTTACTGACAAATGGCCTGTGAGAGGCATATTTTACCCTGACTTGGTTATTAAATGAGTCCCATTAATTTTCATCCGCATTACAGCTTTCTCTGCAACATGATTATGTAGGAACACTAAGGGAAAAAAATGCACTGTTTGTGCCCCCTCACAACCTGCCATCTGTTATCACACCAATTAGAGGACAGCGTGATGATTGACCACCATTACTCTTTAACAGGTGCACAGAGTGTACAGAAAGAAGGTGAAAAAAGAGCTATAAATGCAAAGAACAAAGAAAAGAAGAAAATAAAAGTAGGGTGGACAGAATGTGAGGGATGTGATGCTCCTGGAATGAAAATGTTACTTCATGCTCGAGAATGTGATCGGAGCAGGAAGGGAATGTGAATAGAAAAAAACTAAAGGAGAAAAAAGACAGAGACAAGACAGAAAAGAGAGTAAATATTACATAAGAAAATAGCATTTTCTTGTAAAATGTACTCCAATAATCTTTGTATTATTTACAACTATGAGCTTTTTTTTTCTTCTTCTTCTTCATTTTACAGTGTGGTTAAAGGAATCCAAAACTCCAAAACTAAAGTCCATTTTAGTCCATAAAATAAAAGTCAATGGGATCCAAAAGCAACATCCCATTGGACCCATTGACTCTTATCGTATGGACAAAAAAATATAATTTTTTTTTTTTTAATATCTTGTTTTGTGTTTCACAGAAGAAAGAAAATCATACAGATTTGGAACAACATTAAGTGGATGAGTAAATGATGGCACAATGTTCATTTTTTGGTGAACTATCCGTTTAAAGGGTTAGTTCACCCAAAAATGAAAATTAGGCTGTGTTTTACTCACCCCAGAGCCATCCTAGGTGTATATGACTTTCTTCTTTCAGACGAATCCAGTCGGAGTTAAATAAAAAATTGTCTTTGATCTTTCAAGCTGTTTAATGGCACTCAGCGGGTGTTGCAGTGCTTCAGTCCAAAAGAAGTGAAATAAAAAGCGCCCATCCATAAAAAAAAAGTGTCTCACACGGTTCCGGGGGTGAACAAAGGCCTCCTGTAGCAAATCGATGTGTTTTTGTAAGAAAAATATCCATATTCAAAACGTAATAATCACTTTAATCTAGCTTGCGCCAACAGTTGTACACGGAAGCAGTTCTGGGCGGATGACGTATGAGGTCAGCGTTGCGCATTTGATCCTGTTTGTTTACAGGATCAAAGGAAGCAAAGTTTTCTTACTTTAGCAAAGGAAAACCAGTCTCCTCTTGGCTTATATCGAAATCCTCCGACATTCTTCTTTACAAATCCTCGTTTTGTACTTCTAATTAGTGACCGTTGTTTTGTTTTGATCTCTCCTCTGCATTTCGTCACATCTGAGCGGCGCATGCGCAAAGCCGTCATCTTACGTCATCCGCCCAGAACTGCTTCCATTTACAACAGTGAGCGCAATTTCTGGGTTTCTGATTTTCTGGGCATTTTCTGGGTTTCTTCTGCGAGGCGTATTTGGAGTTTCAGCGCGAGAGCGCCCTCTGGCCTTTGGATGGAGATTTACTGCTGATCACAGAACCGTGCTTCACTGAAAGATACGCATGACAATCGCAGCTTCTGTCGAATCGCAATCTCGATTCCATTTCGATTTATTGTGCAGCCCTAATGGGCGCTTTTTTTTTCACTTCTTTTGGACTGAATCACTGCAACACCCACCGACTGCAATGGTAGAGCTTGGAATAGCCAGGACAATTTTTAATATAACTCCGACTGGATTCGTCTGAAAGAAGAAACTCATATACACCTAGGATGCCTCGGGGGTGAGTAAAACACAGCCTAATTTTCATTTTTGGGTGAACTAACCCTTTAAGAACATGATGCTGCACTAGCATCCAGAACACAACATACGCGGTTCTTCAGCTTGATTCCCATTTTACAATGTGGGGAAAATCCTCTTTTTCCCTCCCTGCATTGCAGTGGCAGTGTGACAGTGACAGTGAGTGTGTGTATATTTGTTCGTGAGTGTGTGACAGACGAGGGGGAATACTAACTCTGTTGCACCCTCTCTTTCTCTCTCGCTCTCTCTCTCTAACACAAATTGTGACAGCATTTTCATTTTTGGGTGAACCATCCCTTTATAAACTGTTAAAGTCCCCCTGCTGTCACTAATTTCATCCAAAAACTCATCTTTGATCATCAAAATGACATAATTAAAGTTTTTTCTTGTCGAAATATTTTCTTCATGCCTTAAAATGGCTTGAATATAACTCTACACCCATACCTCCTTTAGTATACACAGAAACATGAAGATGCAAATCACAGCATCTCAGACTTCCTGCCCCACTTTCACTCAGTCAACTGATGTAGCAAATGCTACACAATGGCAAGTGGCAATACAGGAATAATCCAGTCATAAATGTTTGAACCAGAGACTGAACCAAAGAAGGAGAGGAAATTAAAAAAGAGAGAAAGAGGGAATTATACAGAGTCATCTACAAGTCAATGTATCAAAATGGTAAAGCGTTTATGTATCGCTCTCTACAACATCGAACGTAACAGTAATTGATTAGCCTTTGGCTTGTCTACATTATCAAACAACTAATAATGTGTTGCTAATGTTACACAAACCGTGTTCCCGTTTGCCATCTCAGACAGCAAATTTATAAAAATCAACATCCTTAGGTAGAAATGTGACAGGGGCTGTTTCAAAGCGACTGAGACTGTCTTTGGTACACTGTAGTTTTAAAGGAAAATGATCAGCAATGGTGTTGACTGAAGAATTTGCACATGGTTTGTCTTTAAGCATATTAAAAACACCAGATAGACATGTGAACATTAAAAACTTGATTTTCACTGCAGGGGGTCTTTAAATATAATCTTTGTCCATTTTTCATGCTGTTCGTTATAATACTTTGATGCCTAAATTGAAATAGGTTAGTTTTAATTTATTCAGACACAAATAATTTTAAGATCAACTATTTCTACATTCACACTGCAGGCAAATGTGGCCCAAATCTGATTTTTTTGCTCACATGTGACTCAGATCTGTTTTTGTCATGACAGTGTGAACAGCACAAACCGCATGGAATCTGATCTTTTCAATTCTGATTTGTGCCACTTCCATATGTGGTACTAAATCCGATCTATGTCAGATGTTTTGCAATGCAACCGCAGTGTGAACGGTCATGTCGGATTTCATGCGGCTTTTACGTCACTCTAGATCAGTGATGGGCAAACTTGGCCCTTCCAGGCCACTTTCCTGCACAGATTTGATCCAACCCTGATATGACTCACCTGCCTGTAGCTTTCTAGTAGTCTTGAAGACAATGATTAGCTGGTTCAGGTGTGTTTGATTAGGGTTGGAGCTAACCTCTGAAGGAAATTGGCCTGGAAGGGCCAAGGGTTACACTTTATTTCGATAGTCCACTTTAGACATTCTATTAACTATAAGTAACTTTGTAACTACATGTCAACTACATGTCAACTAATTCTCATTAATTTGCAACTACATGTCTACTAACTCTCAGAGTAGACAGGGTAGGTTTAGGGTTAGTAGAATAAGTTGACAAAGAAAGTGTTAGAAGATATTAAGCAGACAGTCTACTAATACTCTACTAACTGCTAGTTGACATGTAGTTGCAAAGTTACTTACTGTTAATAGAATGTCTAAAGTGGACTATCGAAATAAAGTGTTACCGGGCCAAGTTCACCCACTCCTGCTCTAGATCGACATTCGTCATAATTCCGT